GCTTCCGCTTATATCTGTAGCTTGATTCAGCCTCACTCTTCTGCTCGCAGTCTGTGATGTGCTAACTTGTTATGTGCTTGTTAATGGTCCCTTAAACACATTTTAGCAAAAGACATGATAGATCCAAGCTGTCACACCCAGACTGTCGAATGCACTACCACTTTACCTGTGCTTGGTGAACTCCATGGATGATTTACAAAAAAACAACTAAAAACATTATTTGTTAACCAAGCATTTTAGACTCATTTTATCTAGGGCCGCTATGACTGTATTAATTTTGTCTGTATGTATTTTATATGGTGTTTTTCTGTATTTTATGCCTTATATTGTACAGCACTTTGTTACGCTTGTCTGAGAAATATATAAATAAACCTTACTTATTTACTTACTACTTCCAAGGTGTAAAGGAAGACAAAGCCCCTTGTGACTCAATCATGAAAGTTAAAAACAAGTTAATCAAACACTATAACTCTGTGTTTTTAGCATATTGATGAATTCACATTTTCAAATGTTATTCTTTTAACATTATGTCATTTTATTGTTGATTATCATATACATTCTATAACAATAATCAGTAAAAAACACAAACTTTTCCCTTTATAACAGTTCCATGCACGTGACTCCAGCTCAGTCTTAAGCAACAGAAATGTTTAAACTAGCTTATAAATACCGTTAAAATCCCACAGTTTAGACTTATTTTCTTTTGACAAACCAGCCTGTAGAAAAACCCTTCTTGACAACTTGGAAGCGGCTGAGATGAATGGCTATTTCTAACTAAATAAACAAGAAAACAGTAAGAAAATGTTCTTATGGGTTTCAGGTGACCTTTTGCAACAAGATGTATTTATCAATATTTGTACCTTTTCAATTTTTAATATCTGCAGTTGAGTGTATTACTTGTTTTACTTTCTTAAGTTTTGTTTGAGGAAGTACTGAGGTGTAAAGTTGAGAAGAAAAAAAATAGTTTAAATAACAAAAAGGAATTGCAAACGAGGAAAATGTCGGCAACTTTCTATAAACATTTGGATTTATCTTTGGAACATTTTTTCCTCCTCATCATCATTTACACAATCATGTTTGCCTTTTCATTCACACTAATGTTCTGTCTTTTAACAGCACATTAATTTGCATTTGTGGGTCACTGGATTTCTAGTATTCAAGGAGCTCCAGCTCAGCAAGGTATGCTAATTGACATCAGGTTGACAGACTAATATTTTATTTGGTTTTCATTTAAAAGATTCCTAATGGAATTCAATTTAATTACTTAATTTTTGCATGCGTTTTTAAATATTTTAAGATAATGATAGGTCCAGAAATTATTCCGCAATATTAAAAACGTGACATATTTTTGAGGAAATATGTTTCAGTAGCTGCGTCTGAATCCAGGGGCTGCGTTCTTCAAAGGACCTGGCCTATATAGGATATGTTCTTCGAACGCCACACAGTCACCAGTACTGGTATTGAAAGGCTGTGAACTTAGACAATGAAATCTGAAATTCGTATTTATTGAACCAAGCCCATTATTACCCAGCTTAACCTAACATGAAGATGATGAGGTGTGAAGAACTGCTTATGCATCCATACAAAATAAGAGGCTAACTTATTGACAAAGGCTTTCAACACAACGAAAATTGGAAAGTGTTCAAAGACATTCTGTCTTCATGGTGTCTCCGCTGAATGCATTGGCAGAGGCCTCCCTCCATTTTGGATGAAATGTTGATGTCCGTCTAGAGAAGAGGGTATCAAGTTAACCCATCCACCATTTATAGATGGGAGACAACTCCATGTCAACCAGAGACTGGCATCCTGTTGGTGTTTGGATGGTTTCCAGTAAGGGTGCAACCCTTGCTTTGTTTGTGTGACCTCTATCTGTGTCTATGGCATTAACAATAGAGTGAAAGCAGAGACACATTAACTAAGTTAATGAGGAAACCTTATGTAACAGAGGAGATTCTCTTACCTGAAGGGGATCACCAAAGGAATTCACCCCTTTCGTTTTCTTTATCTGTGCCTTTTTAATCTGTGTGTTAAAATTTCTGAAGATAAAATATGTAACTAATGTTTTTCTTGCATGACAGCAGTTTGCATAATTAAAACAAGACTTGCCAGTGAACACAAATCACCAACCTATCTCTAAGCAGAACGTTAACAAATAACCTTGCTTTACTTAAAATTTCTTTTATAATCCATAAGTATCTGAAATCCCACAGATTGATTTTAATTGCTAAGGAAAATAATCTATTGTGAACTTTATATACTTTTTGACACAGTGTGCTGATCTTTACATCAGACGCGAGCTACTGTAATGCAGCACTTCTATTGCAGGAGAATTTCCAATATTAAGGACATTTTGAGAGCAAGGCCACTTGGAGCCATATATATATACTATCATATCCTAACTTAGTAAGAATTGATAGGAATGCCACCATTAACCATTGCATTAGCTTTGTATCTAATATCTAATTATTGCAAAGGTGCTAGAAATTATCATTGTTGGTAAGAATCCTACTTAAAACAAATAACAGCTCTTTATTAGACATATGATTGAGACTTTAACATCTTTACCTTAAGTGTTCACTTTATAGATTACAGATATTTACTTTGACTCAGCTGCTCCACTTCAGCATGTTTTTGTAATGATTGTGGCCTGACTGATTACCATTGTTTACATTCTGCTCTGGCCTTCAATCCCAAGCTCATTCTTTCCACTTGTGATAACCATGCCCACTCTCAATCAGCACTGCTAAACTCAGCTGTCTCCTGGCTTTATAAGCCTCTAGTCAGTGCCAGATTATTGAAAGCCACTGTGTGAGTAGCGTTCCTTCCTTACTTGCCTGCCTGGTCGTTTCTTGTTCTGTATCCTGATTTTTCCATCTCGCCTTGTAGCTTAATGGATTTACTCTCCTGTTTTCATATATTCTGGACCACAACCCTGTTTCTGATTATCGACTACCCATCTTAGCCCTTTGGATTTGCTCTACAAATCTGTCTCCATGGTTCTGACCCTGTTTTTCTGAATTTAGGCCTGCTATCCCCAAGGCTGATGAAGTCATGTCCTCTCTTGCCTCCACTTCACCTGCATTCACATCATCACCCTGCCATCAGCTCCTGCTAAGAAACCAAACCAAAGGGTTCACTCCTCTACCAGAATCTCAAGGTAAGAGACTCTTTAAGTGTCTTGAAATTATTAAACTCCTCCCTGCTACTAAGCTTACTCCTTAGTCTGTCTAGTAATTAAATCATTTTTTCAGTACAGATTAGACCTAGATGCTCTTACAAGGCTAGGTGAACCCGATCCTTAATTTTTTCATCCTGAACTGCTGAAAATAAACTTTTTTGCAACAGCACATTGGGGTCCTTTGAAGAAAACAAGAATACATTTGATGCATTTTCTAGCTTTCTTTTTTATTACAGTTGAACTATGAGGATTGTTTTACAGCTTCATTAACAAATGCGTTGCAAAATATGTCCATGACAAAAAAACATACAAGAAACAGTTATGAACAGCAGTGTTTCAAACTGAAGTAATTTATCTATCAATAGTTACATAGTAAATCATTTTGTGTATTATTTTGATGTAATTTCTCTCACAACACCAACAGTCTTTTTATTTTCTCTGTTAAAAATCTAACTTTGGCTTCTGTTGTCCTTTTCTGGGTTTCGAAGTTCCATTGAACATTTTTAGTCAAAAATTTCTCATTAAACTAAACTGATCATCATAGGCAATTTTTTGTTTCTTGATAGAGAATGAAATCAGTTAAACATTTAATTCCTTAAAGTAAATTAGGAAAGAAAGATTTTTGTTATAAAGTTATAGTTTTTAATTAATTCACACAAATAAATGCACACAAAATATAAATTGCGTTTTGACAAGTGACCTGAAGTGAACAAAAAAAGATTAGTCTTTCAGAGACATCCAGGTATTATCATACATATGGCAAATTAGGTGATTGTGGAAATGTTACAATTTAAGGCACTCCTTTGAAATCCATAACATGGAATAATTAAACTATTGGTAGAAAGATTTTTTTTTCTATCTAAAGAAAAATAAATATATGGTTAGATACAGCAGGACTAACATCAAAACACTATTTTTAAGTACAATTGAAGGAAACTTGTATCGGTTCTTTATGCTGTCTGAATTTTTTAGATTTAAAATCTTTTTTTTTTGTTTTAAAAACTTTAACATTAAGAATTGAGTCTCCTGTAAAATATTTAAATTCATCCCTAGAAAAATTACAAGGTGGGCTACAGAACTACTATTTTTAAACATGATCTGAAACAAATTCCTTAATAATTTAGGCTAGGATAGGCTCCATATTATTCTACTGTATAGATATGCTTTGAGTGTAAGCATTCCATTACATAGTAGATGTGGTTGTATGTTTAGGGTCACTAAGCTCCTGGAAGATCATTATCCCTACAAGTAACAAGTATTCTGTTACTCCAAAAGCTTTTAATTCAGGATTGCCCGGTATACTGCTCAATCCATTTTTGCATAATCTCTCATCAACTTTTCTGCCACTGCTTAAGAATTATATCCTCAAAGCACAAGGCCACCATCAAAGTTCATGAGGTTATTCACTTCAGGGTGCTGCTTTGATTTATACTTATCTTGCTTGGCCTGTCAGTTTAGACTGAAACATGTTGTGGTAACCTTGTGTGCAAGTTGCATTCTTGTGGGATTAGGGGATTCCCAACCACACAAGAATCCATCTTTACTATTTCAGCTCCAACTCAATGAGTTTGCCAATAAAGTTGGCCAGCACATGCTTTATTGTTGTGCTTTGTCATGGTGTCGCTATTTGATTAGTTACTGTGACTGGCTAAAACCAAACTTTGATAGCTGGTGAATGTCCCTCCTTTATGCAAACATATTAGATAGGAATAATCCCAGATTCATAATGTTTGCAACTAAACCTGAATGCTACACATTATCCATCTGGCTTGCCAGGTTAATGTCTGTAGGTATGAGGTTTTGCCATACTGTTTTTTCCCCCCCCCATTATATTCTACATTACATTTAGAATAGAAAGTGCTCCATGAGATATGAAAAGCTGGAATATTTTATTTACAACTAAAACATGCTCTTGACTTTGACACAACTGTGATCCTTTTTTTCTTTGGTCTTCATCATGCAGTCCATGACACAAAATAACAAATTTGGTGATTTCTAAAGGCAGTTGGATGCACTGTATTTTATTTAACAGTATCATTCTCTTTTCATGTCCCAAGTAGATGTATACAGTAATTTGTTTTTAGTTTACCATATAAACTCTGACGAAATATGTATACTTTTGCAAGGCATTATAGAAGTGTAGTTTGTAATGATTGCTATTCTATATTTTAACAAGATACAACATTAAATATGTTAAATATGGAAATCATGTCATATAACTTTTGTAAATGCAAGATAGTATAACTTCTTTAAGCCAAGTTACTATGATTTATGGTAAAAAAAGAGAAATAAACAATGCTAAACAGGTATGACAAGTTCAATGTTGACAGGTTGCCAAAATGACAGATTTAAACATCTAAAATAACTACATATCGCATAAATTAGTAAAGAATGACAAAATACACCTGAAATTAAACATGATAAATTTACAGGAAAACCAACAAAGTCTGCCCTTTTCAGATAAAAAAAAGGCCCAACAAAAGAGGTATTTGTGGTACACCCTGTTTGTTAACAATAAACAGTCAATAATTATTTTGTACTTTCTTTGGATTTTCTTCTCAGTAATATTTCATTCATATGATTTTCTGTACTGAATATATTGGATGCTCTGAGGAAAGTTTTTTTGTCAGTCAACATGTTTTCCCTTTATTCTGTCAGATACCATTGGCTTTGTTTAGTGAACTATTGCTGCGACGTTTGTTACTTTCTTCAGCCTTTATGGCTTGCTCGATGGCCTCAGTCATGGGAACCTTATCCTCTGCTTCAGTCTCTCTGTGGTAGAAGTAGTTGAAGTTTGAAACAATGACAGGAACAGGCAAAGCAATTGTCAAGACACCTGCTATTGCACACAAGGTGCCCACAACCTTACCCCCAAGGGTAATAGGATACATGTCTCCATATCCTACAGTTGTCATTGTAACAACAGCCCACCAAAAACCATCGGGAATGCTGACAAACTGTGTATCAGGGTCATCTACCTCTGCAAAGTAGATGGCACTGGAGAAGAGGATCACTCCAATAAAAAGAAAGAAGATGAGCAATCCAAGCTCACGCATACTGGCCTTGAGAGTCTGACCCAAGATCTGCAGTCCTTTAGAATGACGTGATAGTTTAAAAATACGAAACACTCTGACCAAACGGATAATACGTAAAATCGCCAAAGACATGTTCTGTCCTGAACTCTCTTGATGGGTTGTGGCCAGTTCTGTGATCAAAGTCACAAAGTAGGGAATAATGGATATAATATCAATCATGTTCATAAGGTTGTGGAAGAACTCACTTTTACTTGGGCATACCAGAAAACGAATGCACAACTCGAAGGCAAACCAACCTATGCAGGCAGTCTCAACAAAGAAGAAAGGATCTGAGAATGTTTTCAGCCTTTCACCAGATAATGAACCAAAGGGAGAACCTCTAGTTTGGTTAAAATGATGGACTGCTGTGGCAACTACATCAGCGTCATCTCTAAATTCCGGCAGTGTCTCCATGCAGAAAATGATGATGGATATGACAATGACCAGGACAGAAACAAGTGCTACACCTCGTGCAGCATTAGAGCTCTCTGGATATTCAAAAAGCAACCAAAACTGCCTATACATTTCATTTTTAGGGAGAGGTATGTCAACGTCTTTTATAAATCCTTCATCTTCTCTGAACTGTTCCATAGCTTCATGTCCAAGCTCATAAAATAAAATTTCATCAGCAAACACATCAAGGGGAACATTAGCTGGTCTTCTAATTTTACCACCAGACTGATAGTAATACAAGATTCCATCAAAACTTGGTCGGTTACGATCAAAGAAATATTCATTCCTCATAGGATCGAAGTACTCCATCCTCTTAAAAGGGTCTCCAAGAAGTGTTTCAGGGAACTGGTCCAGTGTTTTGAGTTGTGTCTCGAAACGAAGACCAGCGATGTTGATTATGACCTTCTGGTCTCCATCATCAAGGCCTCTTTTATCTGCAAAAAGATCCTCACAGCACTCCTTCGTTAGCCGACTGAAGATTGTTTCGCTTTCTTTTACACATTCACTACTTAAGAGCAGTTTCCAGTTGGATATCATGCTGGCACAGCTGCTGCGACCCTTTCTACTTGGTGATGGCATCGTCGGTGATTGAGGTAATCCCAGTATTTGTGCTGGTGGAATGGGTGAAGATGATGTGGATTCCCAAATGTAGGACGGTATGGGGCTGCAGTGGGAAGGGGTGGCAGACAGTTGACGGGCTTGTAGGACGTTGTTGATGTCTGGGCTGTTATTGTGCTCTGGAGGAACATCCACTGTGAGAGCTGTTGTCTCATCAGCATAGGTGTCAACTTCATCCTCAAGGCTGCCATCAATGTCCTCCAGGCTCTCAAAGTCAACCAGGGCCACTTCCATGGCTGGGATTCAGCCAGTGCAATGCCTTGAAAAGGATCAGTATCAGAGAATTTTACAGTCTTTGTAACAGAGGGAAAGTCCAGTTTTCAAAGTTGGTAGCAGCATTTGCATGTCAGAGTAAAGAGTCTTTTGGAAGAATCTCTGAACAAACAGATGGCCAACTTCATTTTTAGCTTCTGTTCAACACCTATAGAAGAAAGAACAAAGAAATAAAGATGATTTTTCAGTTTCTGTCAGTGTTTGGGTACCTTTTCTACATTAGCTTCTATAAAGTACAATGTTTTGATGTTTCAAAGCACATATTTTATCTTAGCTTTTTCAGAGATGATGGGTTTCTTGGAAATTAATAGTAAAAAATATTCACATGATATCAAAGAAGCACAGTAGAAAATTAAATCTCAGGTTGAGCAAAACGTTTTAGCCTTTTAAAACTGCTATTGATTTTTTTAATAAATGCAAGATGCAGTTGTTAGCACTGCCCTTGCCTTGGCCATTTTGCAGAAGTTTGAAGAATAGGATAATTTTTCAAGATCAGCAGATTTCTACCAAGTCAAAAACTGGTAAATTGTTTTTTTTTCTACCTTGAGGAGTGTGTGCTTGTGTACGTAGGTTTCTTTGATGAACACAGCAGAAGACGAGTAATTATGACAAGGTTTTAAAATAATTTATTAAGTTGCATAATAAGTGCATGTATCTTAATTTCATGTGAAGTCTTATCTGGTGACAGTTGAGAAACTTATGTCTTTCCTTGTCACAACTTTAATCATTTTGACTTGGAAAAGGGGTAAATAATCTGACTATTTTTTTTGTATTTAATCAAAGCTGCAGTAGTATATCTCCATGCTTTTAAAAGGGAGCTCTGGTGTATTCATCAATATGGACCCACTTCAAGCTACACAAGCTTCAAGGTAACTAGGTCTTTGCATGAATTAATGCATAATTAAGTGGCGTGAAGTGATAGCACGGATCTCCCTTCTTCCAGACACAACATTTAAACTACACTGGACCACATGACTTCCAGAGGCCATGACACATAAAACCTTTGTCATTTGTGATTAAAGTTAACTACCCTTGATTGTGTACCATTTAACTAGACGCCAAAATATAGAATGTGCACATACATGAGGCTGGTCTTTAAAAGGATTTCTCTGTGAGTGTCTGCTCATTTTGTTTATTTGACTAAATGTGTGGCGGAGATGTTGCAGATGTTTAATTAAAGACTTCAGACGTCAAAAATCAAAACTGGTGGTTCGAGCCCTGCTCTAAGAGAAATAGACAAAAAAAAGAGTTAATGAGGAGAATGATACGGAAATTGTTGGGGAGATAGATGTGGGTGGAGAGATGGGTTAGGATGAAAACTGTGCAACTGCAAAAGGAAAAGTGACAATGAGACAGAATGAGAGTTGTGATGTGGGTGGATTGATAGACAAGATGATGAGGGAGTACCTCTGGCAAGGGGACATCAGTTGTTTTTGTGAGACAGGAATAATGTGAAGATGGAATGAAGGAAGCAAACAGTTATCCTACCACATGATGTAAATTAATAATCCAAAAGTAGTAGTAGACTGTTTAAACATCCCTAAATCGGAATGGTTACCAAACAAGTTTTGCTCAGTACCAATAACACCCAAACGTCATATTACGCAAAAAAAATGGAGTTTGTATATCAAAATACATAAAATACTAATAATTCCTGTTATGTACTCAGCATTAGTATGACGAAAAAATAGTATGAATTGAACAATTGTTTGTAAACAAGTGTCATTAATAAAAAGCAAAATGTAAAGAATCCAATCTTTGCTGAAACTCTAGGCACTGCACTAAAACAAACAAATCAAAACTATTGAAATATATTCACATTAAAACAAACAAAAAAAAAATAAATACAGCATGAAAAGGGGATGCTTTGAAAAATGTTTTAGGTTTCTGGAATACCATCATATATTTTAGATGTATTTAATTTTTTGTGTTACTTGAAAAAATATCATAGTCTCTATACTGGTAAATAAAGTTTTTACTTTTTTAAATCTTATTAATTCTAAAATAAAGACCATAATGAATCTTGTCAACAGCTTGCAAGTCCAAGGAGTTGTGACGTGCCTCTTACCTTGTTTTTAAAGATGTTTTTAGTTTTCATCCTTGCAATAAGCTCGGAACCATCTATCACTAAAGCAGGATACTAAATTCTCTGTGAGTTCTTCTGCAACGTACTGCTTCTCTTCCATTTGAGGTCAGAATGCCTTATCTTTCGTGGACTACACTTGGTAACCCTATGCTTAAGCAGAAACTGGAGATGTGGCAAAGGCCAAACAAACCTACACATGCTAAGAAACACACCCACACAAATACACACACTTGTCAGGCTATATCCTTAAGGGGATTTTGCATTGCCATTTATTTCTATGGCCTAAACCAGGCCATTACCCAAACCCTACCCATCATTGATACATATCTAACCCTAAACCTAAGCTAAACTCAATTCCCTTCTTTATCCTAACTTCCCACCCCAAAAGAGAACCATTCATCAAGTGGACCAGTGGACAGGTCAACACAAGAAAATATAAGTCCCCACAATGTAGCATGTTTGTGGGAAATGTCCCCACAGACACAACTTTTTTAATGGCAGGATTCTATTTATATTCACGTCTGTTCACAGCACTTTATATACATAAAAAAGGAAATACAAATGTTGCAGTCAAGGTATCTTGGATCTAAAATGTCTGGAACCTATTTTTTAACCCCTAGAAGCATGTGGGATATCTTGTTTGCATAGGTGCCTGTTCATGCGTGTCATATGCCATCGACCAGGGATTTAAGTGATGTGCTCAAGACCTTCTAGACTGGAACGGTGTTATTTGATACTCTGATTTCTCCATGCTTGATCCACTTACCTTACACACACAAGTTTCTGACGTATCTACAACTAACTTATTTACAGTATCACAATGAATATTTGATAGCTTACTAGTTCGATACTAGAGGGTAGACAGAATGATAAAGCTTCCTTCACACAGCCTTTCACTTTCAACAGGTCTTTATCAGCAGTCTCTTAAAGCCTTTAACTCACTGCTATGTCTAAGCTGTGCACCTCAACAGCATACATTTTTAATAGCTATCTGTCTAAATTAGTGTTTCAAATGTTTCAACATTTAGGACAGCAGCGCTCCAAAATCACTTCTAAGATTTCTAAGGAGCCTTTTGATATTTTTTGTCAGCTAAAGTCGGAGATTTTGGTACGGTATGTAAAATTGCATGTAGGGAAGCTGCCACTAATTCTACAGTGTTGTTATCCACTGTTGGATATCAACACAGGGGTGGACAATTCCAGTTCCTGGGGGCCGGCATCCTGCAACGTTTAGATCCATCCTTGGTCTAACACGCCTGAATCAAATAGGTGAGTTACAGCCTTACTATGCAGTCAGTTCCTCCAGAGTCCTCTCAATCTAAACAAAATAAAAACAAAAGGGGTCTATTTGATAGCTTACTAGTTTTTTGCTAATTAAACATGTTTACTTAGAAAAAACATGATCTAGTGGCCATGAGTTGTATTCAAATCCTTCTTATACTTTTTGACCAGCGTTTTGGACATTTCCTATAATATCTCATATTTTACATCTTATTTTTAAGGTTGAAAAAAAAAAGGTTGACACTTATCTGACAAGAGATATTTTTAGTTATTTAATTTATGATCTCCTCTAGAGGGGTGAATGTGGCTTTATCTCTACCGCTTACTCCATGAATCCATTGGTTCAAAGGTCTGCTATCTTATTCAGAAACACAGTTGGAAAATTTTGCAACAGTGCAGTGCTTTCCTGGACAGGTAACCTGGAAGTCAAAGGTCTAGTGCCCCTTGTGGATAAGACTTACCTAGTAATTATTTTATAATAGTTCATTAGTCAGAAGAATTGTCTCATTAAAATTAAAATATTACATTATACCTCCACTTGAAAAAAGCCACAAATCGCTTTAGACTTAACTGTGTAGAAATACATTTTATGTAGCAACGGGAAGTGTGGAGCTATTGAAGTGTGAATCCATTATTTTACTTTGACTTTGAATTGTTTCAAGGCAGCTCAGATACAAAGTTTTGTGAGAGATCAGTAATTACTGATGGTGTAACTATAGCCACCTATTTTGATGAACATTGTTGGTGGAGAAAGAAACAGAAACATAATAAAGAATGAGCTAAATATAAACAGCGGGTAGAAAAACATATTGAACACACACCAGTTTTCTCAAAAAATAAATGTCTAGCGGTGCTACTGACATGAGATTTTTATCAAATGTTGTTAACATCAATGCAATCTCCTCATTGAAAGAAATCAAACCATAGATCTCCAGAAATCGCGGAATGTGTAATAATGTGGAATGGCACAGGGAAAAAGTGTGGCGCTGCACACTTTAGTATCTCCTGTGGATTTATAGCATGTGGGTAAACAGGAGCAGATGTTCTTGCAAATCAAGCTTAAGACAATCCCTTGCTAGCTGGCTTGCCCAGTAATATGTCTATGTTGAGCAATTAACAATATGAAAATGTATACTGTAGCTGAAATGACACATTCCTGCTTTTTGCTTAACCAATTTACTAATCTCTGAATCTCTATTCCCTACACTTTTTAAACAGTTTTAAGAAGCTAGCAAAATAAATTTTGACAAGTGATAATTTTAACATAACATAACATTTTTGTGGGAGGGGGGTTCAGGGAAATTAGGGTTCAGGAATATTGTTTTACACTGGAAAATGTTTTTCCTAACAAAAAAAGTGACACCATCCTGGAGAGAAGTATCAGCTGTGCTGCTACCATAAGCACCTTTGTTTATCGATGTTTGAGCTCGGCCTATTTTTTAGTGTAGTCCTGTTTCCCTGACTGTGACTGTCTGGATGTGCTCTCTTTGTCGTCTTACACTGAAGCAGCTCAGAGCCTGTCTGCCTGGCAAAGTGTTTCCTGGACGGGGCTGCCTGTTGAGCTGGTTGACAAGTTCCTTTGTATCTCTTCTTTTTTGTATCTCTGGTTCTGTCTCCTTGAACCCCAGTCGGCCTTGACAGATGGCCACTCACACTTAGCCTGGTTCTGCTGGAGTTTTCTTCCTGTTAAAAGGTAGTTTTTCCTCTCCACTGTCACTATAAGCATGTTTGGTGTGAGGGATTGCCTTTGAGTCAATGAGTCGATGCACTCAACTGGTTTT